CAATCCTTTGAGCCTTAATTTACTACTTTGGTCCATGATAATAACTTTACTACAACTTGTCTTCACAACTTTCGTTATCAGATTGACTGCTGCTTGTATGAAATCAACCTTAGTTTTATAGTGCTCATAGGTAGAATGAAGTGGTAGGTATATAATGTTAATGGTTTGAGTATAAATAACAGAAGGGCATATAGAATTATGATGCGATACGTTGACTTCCCAAATCGTTGTTGATTCGAAAGAAGTACTCAATTTAAATTTGATTCATACCTAATTCTTTATGGATAATTTGAGCTAAGAATTCTAAGTTGCTATAGGAGTATCGGATTTTGCCTCAGTAGTAGACAATATAATCAATTATATTATTTTCTAATGATATAAGCCCTTTTCATATGGGATTCTTAATCCAAGTGATTAGTTGCTGATTAGACAAAATTGAATCACAAATGGAGCTTCATTGGGTTCTGAGATAATTTTGAGCTCCACTGGTTTAGTTTTGTGTAAATATGGTACGTTAAAAAAATCAGTTCAGACATGAAAACAGTTTTTGTAAGAAAATTTTGTTTTTCCTTAAAAGTGCCCATCTTGCGATGTATGGACGGATGGTAGTAAACATAATTACCTATATTGAGGCAAAGTTTCATCCAAATCAAACATGGCCATTTTTTTTAAATCGACTTTAAATTTTAAAAATCGATTTTTTTTTTCAGTGTAGGTCTAAAATAATTTGGTCAATTTCCTAAAAGTCTTCCATACAATATATTTTTGTTGGAGTTGTCATTTTTCCATAATATTTTTTTGAAAAAAATTGGCAGAAAAAGTTTGGCCCTTCTCAAATGTTAGTCTAGATAAATTTTGGGAAAACTGAGTATGCAAAAGTGCTTATTTAGTCAAAGTCTACACATCCAGAAAATTTTATTGAAATCTGAGAGGGTGCTGCCAGCTTCGATTCGATTTGGCGTGAAATGCGTCATGTGGCATATATGCTTAGAAGAAGAATTCTTTTGAAGTATCATTTCGAGTGTGCCACGGGTGTATCAGCGGATTCGTTGGAGCAATACTTCACTGCTAAGCGTTCCAAAATTATTGATTTTTCGAAGACTAGCCGCAAGATCAGTCCTTTGGATTCCACAGCTCCGGACTACAAAATTTTTAAATTCTTGTGCAGCTTGTTGGGAGATAAAATTGATGTAATCGTTTTGAAAGAGGTGAAAAAAAAACACGAAAATGCAATAACGACAAAATAATTAAATATTTTAAATGTATATATTGTAGATTGGTACGAAGATTGACGGTATCACCATAGATTGTTCTGGGCCTGTTCTCGTCGCCATAGGTAAGTAAAAGCTACTTAGTTTTGAAACAAAATCGAAAAAGCGTGTTAAAATGGTAAAAATGATTATGTTTTAGAGGTCATGCTAAAAGTTTAAAGTTTGAATGATGATCGATTACAATGGATTTTTTTTTATTTCAATAATGTCGTTCTACCTTAAGTTTAGTTATCTTAGTGCTATCAAATTTTAAAATGTGATGCTTATATATACAACACCCATTGGAATACATCAAATGCCAATGACATAGTAAAGAGCGTTACGTCGGGTGAAGCGTGAAATCGAATGTAAAGAATAATATCAATAAAAAAGTGCTTCTGTATTTCACGCTTCACGCAACGCAATGCACTCTACTATGTCGTGGTTATTATTAATCATCATGCATTCAGGATTTAGCTTGCTAATCTCGCTTCATTCTGTACTGCCCATAAAGGCATGAAGATAGAAAAGTTATACTTTTATGGACCTTAATACAAACAAAAATAACAATAGGAAAACATGGGTTAGGACCGGTCATACAAATTTGATCATGGCCATTCTAATATATTATACAATAAGTTTCTAATATAAAACAATACAATTCCATTTTCAGACTGTGGAAACAGCAAACGAATGTACTACGTTTTTGCAGAGCAAGTACGCTTGAGCGAAGGAACAACAAATGTGGTTGCCGCTGTTGCGGATTTGATATGCATTCATTATGTTCATAACTTTATGTATATGAAGCAAATGTCTAAGTTCTTGGAATTTGTGCAGGAATACTTTTTTTAAATCTTGCCTGCCACTGGATCAAAATCCAACGCTACTCGTAAAGGACAACAACAAAGAGTTGTAAAACGAGTAATCGAAGCCATTGCTAACCATTCTCCTATGCAATAGTAATCTATGCTTACCAAAATTTCTATATGATTGGAGCAAGAAACATATGATATGAAGAGCAAAAAGTTATGTTAATTTTATGATTAAGAGATATTTTAGAGATATTTTAGTGCTAAGGTATAAAAACCATAAATGCTGTCGTAGACAAATCAGTTGCGCAAATAAAAATACGTCTTAAAACTAAACAAGACCTCCTTCTCTATAAAAGATCATTGGTTACAGAACTTAATAACAAATTCCATATTTTTTATATACCGGTGTTTTCCATTTTGGAACATTTTTCATAAAATTAGTTTACATGAGTTGATTTATAATGTAAATGTAATGTTAGCAAAAAATCGACTAATACAAACTTCAACTTTCTAAAGCTAAAGTATGTTTATTCAAAAAAAAAATTGACACCTTAATTCTGTGCTTATTTTGTATATGTATTTGAATATCTGAAGTCCCTTTTACTGTTCGTCTTAATTTTTATTTTAGGACTACTGAATTCAAGCGCAACATTTAAAAAAAATCAATCAACCATACGTAAAAAATGACAATGAATGTCGATTTTTCACGGATTACAACTCATTCAGGCAAGCCAACATCAGCATCTGATAAACGAAATTTACTTTACCAGATCCTGCTGTCGATTTTTCTGAATGAGTTATAATCTACGAATCATGGACGTTTAAAGTCATTGTTCACATTTAATTCATTGCATCTTTTCACATGTTGTGCAGGAATTCGAAATTGCGGATTTGGTTAAATCTGTAATGTAAATCCCTTTTCCTATAGCCATTAGACGGAACATTCCGTCTCATTATAATTTTACATGTCAACAAACTGGAACGCGTAAAATTACAATTTTGCTTCATTTCACGACATGTAAAAATACTAACGGACGTAATTTTATGTCATTTGAGTCGCTTACATGTGTCGGTCCTAGGAGACTTAAAATTACATGCAGTTTTCGAAGTGTGTAATGCATCATCGGCCTCATTGAACGAATAGCCTCCAATGAACTAAAAATGTTGGTAGTTTTTGGCCATTTTTGCGGTTCTCCAGTTCCGAAAATATTTTCTGATCTTTCCGAAAAAAAAATATTGTAGGAACAGGAAAACTGCGAAATAAAATTAAACATGGCCATAAACTACCAACATTTTAAAAATATCTACTTTCAAACCGCTACATCTCGAAAACGGCGCGACTTAGCAAAATTCTACTCAGTGGTTTTTTATTGTAAATTTGGTGTACTTTCATTATATAAAGTTGAAACAGTAATTGGACCAAATTTTGGATATTTTTTCCAAAAACTTGAGTTTAAAAAAAATCAAAACTTGCATCATTTCCATTGTCCATCATTTCTCCATCTTGACCTATTGTGCAATAGATGGCATTTTTTGTCCCCTAAAACATATCAGCAAATAAAAAAAAATACAAAAAATCCTTTTTTGAGAAAAATTGTTTTTAAGATTTTATTAGAAATAAAAAAAAAAAGTTGGGTAATTTTTTTAGGTGCATTTTTTTTTCAAATGGTCTCATCCATTATCTGCAATATTGCCCAGTACACCAAATCGATCGGGCAAACAGTTTTCGAGTAAAAGTGTTCTGAAGATTAGCTTGATATTTTTCTGTATGCCCTTTTCAAAAATAAGGCTAGATTCAAATTGCCGATATGAAGGTGCAAAATGGCAAAGTCGATCATAAGGAACGTTTCTGCAAATTATCAACCGAATAAAAAAATACAAAAATAAACCGATTTGCGAATTCGCAAATTTGACAAATGAAACTAGGCCAAATATTTTATTATGTGTACTGACCTCATTCAAATGATTAGACAATCAACAAAATTAGGTCATACATGGAGCATCAAATATTTGTCATTTGTGCAAACAGTGTCAGTTCGCTTGAGAAAGCAAAATGGACAGGTTTTGTGTCTCAAACAGGCCTGAACATACTCATTACAGCTAAAATACTACTTTTCGATACTATGAATCTATGAGATATTACAATAATAATTTGTATATTTTAAATGCAGGTAGAGAAGGTAAAATTCGTGTATGATGCATAAAATCTGTCAATTTCGCTACCAGAGTGTCACAATTAGCGATAAGCTATAACGAATAGTACTCATTCATGACGATTACTCATTATAGCTAAAATATCTAATTGTGACCCTATACAAAAACTGAACCTGCTCTTCTTGCATCTTACATATAAAAATTATTATTATAATATCTCATAGTTTCCTAATTTCGAAAAGTAGTATTTAAGCTGTAATGAGTATGCTCAGGCCTAGTCTCAAACACATATGTTGCCATCTCTTATTGTAACATACAAGCAAAATAATCATATTAACATCTTTGGTTTAATTATTTTGAAAAACAAATTTTGATGCTAAATGAGCATCTGCCACCTTGGTTTCATGATCTGTTATTTTCAAATCTGCATCCGTAATGACTCGTTAAAGAAAAGCTGATAGCTAAATCACGAGCTCCCATTAGTCAATCACATTATATTAAATGAATATTAAAAGAAGCAGTTTCCATCGGATTGTCGATGGTAGGAAACCCTGTACTGAGAAACTTTTGATCAAATGAACGATCTTGCCTCGACTGTTACACAGTTCTTGTTTCAGCAGGATAGAAAATTTCCAATCTATGCCAACAACGCACCTCTGCGTTGTAAATTATGAAACGGAATGAAAGATTTTGACCAGAGTATTTTCATCGTGTATTTCTATCTATTCAAGTATGCTTTTATAAGAGCTGAAATCACATTTTCACACATTCACACATTCACCCATTCACACTGACAAGATGTTAACATTCAACCACTCGGATCGTAGATAGTGCCATAGAACAGCGGCAGCCGAGTAGCATCGTGGCCTAGCATCATAAGGAACGGTGCGTCGATTCGGATCTGCACCGAAGGCAGTGACCGAAAGATGGTGGACGCCGTGATGGCACCACCCTCCGTGCCCTTCTCGTTGATCTCCAGCTCCACCTTATGAATGATTTCGCTAGCGAAAAGCCGTTGCCGGGCATACGGATTGACACTGTTGTCCAACATCGCCGACAGATCACTGGTGGATGGGCTAAAGATGGACTGCAGCTGCAGCTTCTTCAGTATATCCCTCAGGTTGATAGTGTTGGAAATTTTCATTTTTGGAATCTGAACTAGCGCCTTTCGGACAGTCATTTGCACGACCATTTCGCCGATGTCCTTGGCTGTTAGATGTCGTTGAAATTCCTGCATCCGTTGGCGGGTGGAATTGTTCGGTATGATAATGTATAGAGCTGTTTTCTCGCCTTGATATGGAAGACCCACGATCCGGGCGTTGTGCTGTGCGGATTCGAAGTAAGGGAAGCATCCTATCACTGCCATGGTGAGGACATCTTTGGCCGTTGAGGGGTTACCGTGACCATCAGGATAGAATTTCTTGTAGCTAGTAGCTTGCTTCTCAAACATCTCCTTCCAGAGACCTTTGAAGTACAATGCATTCGCCACGATCATCTGCGTATCGGGGTTGATCGAATCGGAAATGATCTGGTTAATTTTACCATAAGTGTTTTCACTGGCCCATCGGTTTATGTTAAATGCAGATTTTTGTGGATTGTTGGCGAAATCTAATGATAAAATTGAGCTATTGTAAAACAACCTAGACAACTCGTCAAACTTTGCGTTTATTGGCAGGCCTTGTTGCACAAAAATTGCATTGGCTAGATGAGTGACTTCATTTTCTTGTCTGTAGTCATCGTCATCTTCGTCGCTGCACCGATCGGTTTGGCGCCATGGAATTGGTTGTGCGTCGGGTGTTGTAGAGGCTACTTGTCGTAGCATTCTTCCATACTGGCGATGAATTGCATTTCTATCCTGTTCGTTGGGATTAAAGTTCAATACCTGCATTAGCTCACGGCGCGTTTCATTTCTCGCACCGAGCAGCAGAAGCGACAGAGCACAGGCTATGCTCACAGGTGAAAATACCCCAGCATTACTCTGTTGTCCCAAAACCGCTCCAACCCGTCTGGCGAGTTCAGTGATTGCGAAAGATGCTGCGTCATACTGGAACTGTGCTTGACCTTGGTTAGAGACGGGTGCTGCTGGTGCCTGTGTAGTTTCTCGATATGCAGGGAACTGAATCGGTCTGGCCAGTGACTGCGGCTCAGGCTGCTGCTGCAAGTAGACCATATTCTGGTTGGGGTTTTGTTTCGATGACCAGGTTTGCTGGCCGTTGACCGCTAACGACACACCTAGTACCACTACTACCGCCAAGTACTCTCTCCATGCAATCATAATTTATCACTCTACTCTAGCAAATCAATCAGTCTTCTCTCGCGCCGCAGAACACGTCGCTGCTTATGTTCTACACTATCTAGCAAGTAACCGAAACCGCCCGAATAATTCACGTAATCAGCATTCACAGAGAAGATCGCACCAGAGGGCTCCGACGACACTTCCTATTCGCTTCGTATTTTAGCTTCAACTGTGAGTCTAACTGGTAGGAGCTGCGAAGACCGAGAGAGTGGCAGTTTAAAAACCGGTAAACGGATCGACTCTCGGCTTTCACGAGCGCCAATAAAGATGACAAACCACACCACCCAAACCACGGAGTTCTCTCTTTCTCTCCGTCGACCGTCTAGCTCCAGAGTGGGGCAATGTTGCCGGATTGTTTGCAATGTTGGCTTAGGGAATCCCGTTCACTACGGGGGGCCACAATAAATTGGTCGATTTGGGAAATCCAATCGAATGCAAGATGCAAGTCATAATAAAATTCAATTGGCAATTTATGGGGAATTTGGCTTCGTACGGAGAGCAGCATAATTGCTTTGTTTTGTTTTGATGTGTCATGCCAACGACCAGTGGGAATTTTCGTAGCACAAAATGATTAAAATTATCTTTACACTATTCCGGTCAGTAAGGTTTTACTGGGTTTTTGAATTGCGGAACTATTCGGTAAAAGTTTAAAAATTTGTGGAACATTCATTAATCAGAATTTTTCCGAAAATGTACAGACCTAGTTCTATTAACCCCATTTAATGATTTCATTGATTCTTGCTTGCGGATAACGGTAATTTGAATTTTTACCGACTTTTTCAGACTCCTGTAAAATAATCTAAGTGTGTTTTGAAGTTTCTTTGAAGTAATTTTAAATGCCCTGATGTTTTCTGATCTTCCCTGATGTTTTTGAAGCTAACCTGAGGTTCATGTAATTCTCCTGACGTATTGGGAGCTGTCTCTTCATCTAACTACTCTTAAATTGTCTGGGCTTCTCGAAAATACATCTGAAGATTTCTTGACTCATCATGAATTCTCAGGACCTCCCTGAACTTCTCGACACTTCTAAAAGTTTCTCAATATTTTCCTGAAGCTCATAGTATTGTCTTGAGTTTATAGAAATTAACCTTTACATATCTTAAAATTTCCCCCAAATTTTAGACTATCCTGATGTTACTTGGACTGCCATGAAGATCTCTGAGCTGAATCGCTAGAGCTAGCTTCAATGAGGTTGTTGAAATCTCTTTAAAATTTCCGAAGTTTACCACGGGTTCTTTGAACTTCTCTGAAGTGTTCTTGACATCTCTAAAGTTTCCTGGATATCCCTAAAGTTTGTAGATCATCTTAAAAGTTCCTGTAGTTCTCCTGAAGCTAATGGGACTAGCTTGGAGATCTAAAAGTTTCTCTGAAATGCCTGACATTTTACAAAAGTCCCCCAACAATCACGCAGTGTGTTCATTAAACTTCCTCGAAATCCTCGGAATTATCCTCATTCCTTAGAATTTCTTCCGGCCAGAAGTTCTTTAATATTTCCTAATGTTCATACTAATCTTCTGTTCATTTACCCTGAATTTATTGAAACAGCCGTCAAGATCTCATATCTTCCTACCGTTTCCTGCATTTCCTTGAATCTCTCGCAACTTCTGATAAGTTTTTTTATACTGTTTCTTAAGTTTTCTTAACTTCCCTGATGTTCTCTGGAATAATTTGTGAAGCTTCTCGAAGGTTTTCACTATTTTTAAAAATTTAATGGAACTGCCCTAAAGTTCTTCTGGGTTACAAAATGGTGAGTGACAATCTGGAAGGAGCGATATATCTAGCTCCGGTCCGCACAAGTTCCTACCTCAAGCCTCCACGAGTCATATGATCAAAAAAGACTGCCAGCTGAAACATGGACACAGCTGGTTGGCGTAGCCTGGGCAATGTTGTCAATCCGACAATAGCAGAGTGAGGAGGTGCGACGCGAACACTGGCGCGGTAACCATAGCACGGTGATAGAGGAAATGCTTCGCCAACCCGAGCGTCTGTTCACCATGGAGGTGCGGCTCAAACAGCGTCTGACTGGCATGCAGCGGCTGAATAAGAAATGCTCTTCCCCGGAAGCTACACCTAAGATGGCAGCCCCATCACGGCGGATAGGAGACCTTAGGCCAACCACCTACTGTCTCTGAAACCTTTACAATTGTTACAGAAACCAACAGAGAAAGACATCGAACTGATTTAACAGCAACGACTTTTAGCGCAAAACAACGGACACGAATTGGATCATGGAATGTATTGATGTTAGCTCAGCAGGGTAAACTGGCACAACTCGCCAACGAGGCGCGACGCATGAAGCTAGAAATCCTGGAACTGACTGAAGTTCGTTGGCCAAACTTTGGAAAACACAAACTGCCGTCGGGACAGGTACTACTATACTCTGGTATTCGAGGTGAAAACGCTCCCCGCCATCGTGGATTTGGTCTCCTACTAAGCGTCCAGGCAAGTGCTGCGCTCATCAAGTGGGAGCCTGTTAATGAGAGGATAATCGTTGCCAGATTTAGAACACGGGTTCGTAACCTTACCATAATCCAATGTTATGAGCCAACCGATGCTGCCGAGCTACAGGACAAGGAGAATTTTCACAGTCAACTGAATGCCGTCGTGAATAAGGTTCCAAAGGGTGACATCAAGATTTACACTGGCGACTTCAATGCGAAGATCGGCTCCGACAACACGGACTATGAGCGTGTCATGGGACGCCATGGTCTCGGCGAAATGAGCGAGAACGGTGAGCTGTTTGCAGAATTTTGTGGCAATAACGACATGGTGATCGGGGGCTCGGTCTTCCCCCATCGGCCAGTGCACGAAGTCACGTGGGTTTCCCGTGATGGACATACCGAAAATCAGATCGACCACATCTGCATCAGCCGAAAATGGAGACGGAGCCTTCTTGATATCCGGAATAAACGCAGCGCCGACATCGCGTCTGACCATCACCTTCTAATCCGTGAAATCCACCTATGCATGGCGCGGATCCAGCGACGGGAGGAGAGACTCGGGCGGTGGTTCAACACACGCCGACTTGAAGATCCAGCGGTAAAAAGGTCTTTTGTTGAAGAACTTGAGACTCGAGCTGCGGACGTTCCAGAGGTGGCAGCGTAGAAGAACAATGGACGGCCATCAAGAATGCCTTTATAGAAACCTGGCGGAAAATTGTGAAGCGTAGAGAAGCAAAAGTCGCGATAGAGCGGACTAGAACCAGAGAAGCCAAGAACGAAGCCCGTCAACGGTACTCGGCTCTAGAGAAGGAAGTCAAGCGCTCTTGCAGACGGGACAAGCGAGCGTGGGTGAACTCCCTGGCCGACGAAGTGGAGAAAGCCGGAAACACTGGCAATATACGCCTCATCTACGATATCTCACGACGCCTGAGTGGAGCAAGGATGAACCCGAGGATGACAGTGAAGGATACGACTGGACAGTTGCTTACCGACCCCACTGACCAGCTGAAACGCTGGTTTGAGCACTTCGAACAACTTCTTCAAGTTTCGCCTCGGCATGATCCGCCTAGGATGCGGCGCATCACTCGCGTCAATTCCTAGGCCCCATCACTGCAGGAGATTGAAGCAGCTATCCGAAGCATGAAATCCAACAAGGCTCCAGGGGTCGATCGCATATCAGCAGAGATGCTCAAAGCTGACCCCATACTATCCGCACAAATGTTGCATCAACTTTTCTGTAATATCTGGGACACCGCGGCTTGTCCAGACGACTGGATGCAGAGCATCTTAGTGAAGGTCCCAAAGAAGGGGGATCTGACTGTGTGCGACAATTGGCGAGGCATCATGTTACTGTGTATTGTTCTCAATGTTCTGTGCAAAGTTATCCTGAATCGGATACAGGAGAAGATCGACGCGACTCTCCGACGGCAGCAGGCAGGATTCCGTGCCGGAAGATCTTGTGTAGACCATATTGTCACGCTCCGCATCATCTTGGAGCAGGTCAATGAATTCCAAGAGTCCCTTTATTTGGTATTCATTGACTACACGCAAACCAAAAATCTATTACAATGAATGTTAGTTCCATTTCCTATCATCCTCTGTTCATGAACATCGCAGCGAATGGTAGAAGTTGACCTTACAGGCGATGGAATGGTTTTTTGCCTTTTTTATTTCGTGTTCTGTCTGTGCTTTCACTTACACAAGCAAGCATTTGCCTTGATTTTTATGTATAACATGGTAGAACGACGCACACCCTTGCCGCGAATCTCTCCAGCAGAAAAAGCATACGAAGTCGAGTGTGAGAGGAAAGGAACGCATCTTGTTTGCTTTTAGGCTATCCTTATTCAGAATCATGGAGAGAGCAGTGGAGAAAGCACAGGTCTGATAATCGCAACGTTCGTGGTTCGAGTCCAGTCGGCAACCTTTTCCCTATTTTTTTTTCGACATAATAAATTTACCTCACTAATACACTCTACATTTTCGGTCTCCAATTTTCTTGCATTGGACCGCAGCTAGGTATATAGCATCATCGGTTCATGCGGTCTCCACTTACATCCTCTGATGATGAATCCCACATAATTGTAAGCGAATCTTACATCCACCGGTTGGGTGTACGAAAAAGCTTTCGACCGTCTCAATCACGAGAATCTGTGGGGCGCCCTGAGACGCAAGGGAGTCCCGGATAAAATCGTCAACCTCATCGAAGCGCAGTATGAGGCTTTCACGTGAAGAGTTCTGCATAACGGAGCCTTGTCCGACCCTATCCGGGTAGTCGCTGGTGTGAGGCAAGGATGTATATTATCACCGCTACTGTTTCTCATCGTAATCGACGAGATCATGGTAGGTGCAATTGACCGTGTACCGAACCGTGGGCTGCTTTGGCAGCCTATGACCATGGAGCATCTCAACGACTTAGATTTTGGCTGATGATGTTGCTCTACTAGCACAACGGCGCTCTGATATGCAGAGTAAGCTCAATGACCTAGCCGAACGCTCCTCTGCGGCGGGTCTCACTATCAACGTCAACAAGACCAAATTGTTGGATATCAACACGGGCAACCCTTCCAACCTTACGGTAGCGGGGCAAGCAGTGGAGAAGGTTGGAAGTTTCCAATATCTTGGCAGCCAAATAGCGTCGGACGGCGGGACCAGGAGCGACATAGGTGCGCGAATCAAGAAGGCTAGGGCTGCCTTTGCGAGTTTACGAAACGTATGGAGATCCAACCAGATAA